AAGACTTTGAATGCTGGTTCTTTGGTTAATATAAAGCTGAAAATTGCATACATGAGACTTCCAACAATAGTTTGCGTATAGTATTCAGTCTACATGTGTTTGGTTTTTCAGATGTAATCTAACAAAGTAAATTGAGAAGACGATGAAGACATGACATTGTCCTAACATATATTTGCACACAAGGAGATTAAACTCCAGATGATCAATCGAACATCATCATTCATCCACAGAAACCTTAATTCAGGTGAGAAAGAAAAGCTTGAGATCAACAATGGAGAACCTCCTCAAAGGTACATACTTTGAGAGTATTAGAAGAATGTTCCTTCAGGAGGTTGAACAAGCTTTCGGTTATGCGATGCAGCCATCTCCTTCTTCAAATGAATCAGTATGTCCTCCATTGTGTACTCCCTTTGCCAGCTTGCAAGAAGCCCAAACTTCTTTGGCTCCACCTATATTTACATAGATATATTCATATTCAGTAAACTAATCCAAAATCGACAAAATCTCGAAATTCACATTTCCCTACCACGCCGGTTTCATGGTTGACACAAGTCATGTTGATGCGTGAATGGAACCGGACAGTCGGGGGTTTCTCAGGGTAATCTTTGTCGCAGAAGAGCTTCAACTGATAGATTCGACCCTCGTGTACAGTCTGCACAGACAAAATACCAGTCAGATCACAATGTGAATCATGTTCCGAAAACATTTAACTATAATCAAGAAGCAGGAACAGAGTCGTATTTTCATTCGAAGGTTTTCATCGAGTGAAGTTAAGAAGATATAACTACGTTATGAGGACCGATGATAGTGCCAGTCCAAGAGCGCATATAAATGTCATCACCATCATCCATTCCATAGCTCACAGTTCCATCCCCAATACCCTTCTCTCCACGTTCAAGCTCCTCCAGCAACCGGAAATTCCTCGGTACTATATCGTAACAACCACAATGTAAACATCAAACACAGCTCAGCTCATCACAATTACACAACAAATTAACTTCTTTCTAATCAAACTCATTACAAGAATCATTATCCAGAAACCTAATCTACTTCATTTGTAGATAAAGATAATGTCCTGAATCACTCCCGAGGCAATCAGAATCTATCACTAGACATCAGAATCTATCATTTGTAGATAAAGATTTGCATACGAATTGAAATCAATCAATCAAAAGACGAACAATCCAGCACAAGAAAACAGAGATTTCGATTATATGCTTATATAACCCAGAAACAACTGAAGAAAAGATCAAAGAAATCTACGATGAACATTCGATCAAGGAAACGAATAAACACAAATCAAAAACCCTAGCAAACTTGAGAGAAGAAAAGATACGAAAATTTTACCGACAACACTCGATCCTCCAGAGCCAAGAGTCATGTTTCGATCAATTGAGATTTCAAATCGATTGATTGTGAGATCTGATC